TATAACTGGACCACCTTCTGCTTCTCTTTTCCTATATGCCAGATGGGTATAGGCAGAGTACTGGCCTCATAGGGCTATTTGGAGGATTAAAAGAGGTAATACTATGTAAGCACTCATCCGCTGCTATTCTTCACCTATGTGTGAGTTGGTTTGTGTTTCTCTCCTAAATTCTGCAAGAGCTTATCACTTTTCATCCAAAGCCCTTTGTAAAATAGAAGTAAGCACTTCTTAACTCCACAATTACCATGAGAATTCTTTTACACAAATGCTTTGATCTGAAAAAAATCTGTACTCCAAATCACATGGATTGATGATAAATGACTTTTATATTACACACTAGAGGCCTGGTGCATGAAAATCTTGCACAGACGGGTCCATCAGCCTGGCCTGCACTCTCTCCAATACAGGACCCCTCGAGGGATGTTGAACTTATGGTTTAGGTGGGATGGGACCTAAAATGGCAGTTGGACATCCCTCTTGCAAACCAGGACTGCTGGTTCCTAATCGCTTGCCTGCCTGCCAGACTGATCACCACCTAACCACTCCCCTGCGAGCCTGATGGCCCCTAACTGCCCTCCTCTGCATGCCTGATCATCCCTAACCACCTCTACCTCAGTCCCCACCACTGTGGCTTTGTCTGGAAGGAAGTCGGATGTATAGAAGGTGTCCGGTCTCCTGGTCTTATTAGCATATTACCCTTTTATTAGTGGAGAGTAGTGGCCCAATGCATGAAATTCGTGCATGTGGGAAGGTGTCCCTCAGCCCGGCCTGCAACCTCTCCAATCTGGGATCCCCCTTGCAATCTGGGACCGCTGGCTCCTAACCACTCACCTGCCAACCTGCCTGATAGCATGCAGGACTGGAGTGAGGGTGAGAGTGTTAGAGGGTGAGTATGTTCAAGGGAGAGTGTGTGTGGGTGTGTGTGTTGGGCATCTTCTGGGACCCCGCAGGGGATGTCTGAGTGCCTCTTGCAATCAGGGACCACCAACTCCTAACTGCTCGCCTGCCTGCCTGATAGCCCCTAACCCACCTCTGCCTTCCTGATCGCCCAATTGCCCTCCCCTCCTGGCCTGATCGCCCATTACTACCTCTGCCTCAGCTCAGCCACCATGGCTTTGTCTGGAAGGACATCCAGAAGGTCTCCTGGTCTAATTAGCATATTACCCTTTTATTACAGTATCAAAAATCACTTAATAACCCCACTTTCCATATTTATGTCTCTACTACCTCTATTCTAACCCTTGACAACCTCTCTCTCTCCTTCACAAATGGGCTTCTTTCATCTCTAAAATATAGAGAAATTTAAATCAGTCCTGAATCCTCTCCCACCTAGATAGGAGGTGTCTGCAGACATAAAAAGTCTTTTGAACACACAAGAGCTTTTTGTAGAATGAATACTTAGAAATGAAATTTTCTTTTTGTTACATATGTGTTTTTTGGTGGTGGAGTTAAAAGTGCTGACTTCTGTTTTACATTTAAAATTCTTCATTTAAAAAATTTTCATATTATACTAGAGGCCCAGTGCATGAAATTCATGCATGGGGGGGAGGTGTCCCTCAGCCCAGCCTGTACCTTGGGACCTCTCAAGGGATGTCTGACTGCCCGTTTAGACCCAATCCTGGTGGGACTGGGCCTAAACGGGCAGTCGGACATCCCTCTCACAATCCAGGACTGCTGACTCCCAACTGCTCGCCTGCTTGCCTGCCTGATTGCCCCTGACCACTCCCCTGCCAGCCAGATCAATGCATAACTGCTCCCCTGCCGGCCCAATTGCTCCTAACTGCCCTCCCCTGCCAGCGTGGTCACCCCTAACTGTCCTCCCTTGCATGCTTGGTTCGCCCCAACTGCCCTCCCTTTCAGGCCTGGGTCCCCCCACAACTGTGCTCCCCTGCAGGCTTGGTTCCCCCCAAATGCCCTCCCCTGCAGGGTTGGTCCCCCCCCCAACTGCCCTCCCCTGCTTGCCTGATCACCCACAACTGCCCTCCCCTGCCAGCCATCTTGTGGCCACATGGAGGCGGCCATGTTTGACCACTTGTGGGTGGCTATCTTGTGTGTTGTAGTGATGGTCAATTTACATATTACTCTTTTATTAGATAGGATTAAATCCAGTTTCCTTCTTCCCTTGGGCTACACATTGGTTCTTTCATTAATTCATTCATTTGTGGATTAAAATTTTATTGACAGCCCTATTGTGTTCCCACACAGACTTAGGCCCTGAAGACACAACAATGGGAAGAATAATCAATGTCTATCCTCATAGACATGACACACTGGGACATTTCTAATGCAAGAGCTTTGGGGGTCCTCATTCTGTCCTAAAAAGGGGTCTCATTCCCTTCATGAGCCTAAGTCATAACCTCCTTCCTCCCTCCTGGGTAGACCACTCTCAGTCACTGGGGCCTGCTGCAGGAGAAACAGCCCAGGCTCTAAGATTCAGAGAGAACTGGTTTTGAATTCAGGATCCAGGACTCCAAGACCGTGTGGTTCAGGAAGAACCTTAATCTCTGGAAGCCTCCAATCGCCACAGACAGGGTGGCCAGAGGGTCAGTGATCATAGACCAGGTGCTCAAGTCTTGTTTTGTTCCCAGGCCCACAACTGAAGTGCTTATGAACATGGATATGACTGTCACAACCTGGGAGACTGAACTCACAACAACCAATGAAAGTGATGAATATTATACAGAGAACATAATCCTGGAATTGCTGAACGTCTTTGTGGTCCTGGTGGGGCTGGCAGGGAACGTGGTAGTGCTCTGGCTCCTGGGATTCCGCATGCGCAGGAACGCCTTCTCCGTCTATATCCTAAACCTGGCGGGGGCTGACTTCCTCTTCCTCTGCTACCAATTTATGCATAGTATAGTTTTACTTTTTCACTTTCATTTTGTCGTTAAAGTAATTGGGACATATGTCTCGCCTGTGTCAAACTTTGCCTACATCTCAGGCCTGAGCTTTCTCAGCGCCATCAGCATAGAGCGCTGCATGTCTGTCCTGTGGCCCATCTGGTACCGCTGCCACCGCCCCAGACACATGTCCACCGTCATGTGTGCCCTACTCTGGGCCCTGTCCCTGCTGCTGAGCATCCTGGAAGGGAACTACTGTGGCTTCCTGGTGAGGAACATGCATCATGTTTGGTGCCCAGTGTTGGATTTCATCACTGTGTCATGGCTGGTTTTGTTATTTGTGCTTCTCTCTGGGTCCAGCCTGGCCCTGATGACCAGACTGCTGTGTGGCTCCCATCGGTTGCCGCCCACCAGACTCTACATGACCGTCATGCTCACAATGCTGGTCTTCCTCCTCTGTGGCCTACCCTTCGGCATCCACTGGTTCCTCTTATACTGGTTTGATGCCTTCCCTCATCTTTCCCAGTTTGTAGTTCTCCTGTCCTCTGTCAACAGCTGTGCCAATCCCATCATTTACTTCTTCGTTGGCTCCTTCAGGCAGCGATGGTGGAAGTGGAGACACACCCTGAGGCTGGTTCTCCAGAGGGCTCTGCAGGACACTCCTGAGGCGGATGAACCTGGGGAAACCCTGGCCATGTCGGGAAGCAGTCTGGGGCAGGGATGAGAGCCTCTGTCCTGATCAGTCTGGAGTAACTTCCAGACTCACTGCTGCCCTGACAGGCTTGGAAAATATCTAGTCTTCTCTCAGCCTCAGTGCCAGGCGTGGAAAGTATCGAGTCTTCTCTCAGCCTCAGCCTCAGAATGTGTCAGTGATTCCCCAATCTCTTCAAATAGGTTGTTTTTAATCTGGCTGGTCTAGTTTTTCTCAGAGAAAGCATTAGTCTGAACGTTATACCTCTCCATCGTCCTTGACATTACCAATAAATTTCTCATGTAATCTTTTGAATTTATTTATTGAATGATTTTTTTTACAATCTTCATTGCAACAGAAAGAATTCTTCTCTGAATCAGACAAATCCAGGTCTGAAGTCCTGGTTCTACAGCTCTCCTCTCCAAGCCTCTGTTAATTCATTGTAAAATGTGGTGAAATCATCTGCTCATAGAATCATAGTGGGGAATAAATTAGAAAACAGGTGATAAGGACTCAGCCAGGTGTCAAATATGACTAAATATTTCATAAACATCAGTGATTAATACATGTGAAGCCTCTAATATATTATTGACTTCTGAGGTAATATTTAATAATTTAAAAAGAAAAGAATCCCTGTCCAAAACCATAAGTAGTCATTCGGTAATTGTTCTACCTGATTGGATAGAAAAAGTGGTTTC